TATTTATATATATGAGAGACTGAAAGGTCTTGTCATTTTCCCAAACCAATTTTTTTATAATGTTGCTTCTTTTTTTTTTACGACAAAAAACAATGCTCCTAAGAAAGGTTGTAAACAACACGAAGCATTGTTGTGTAGACATGCTGTAGTGGGAGCGTCCAAAACGTTAGGAGGTTCTTAAAGAGACGGAGGCCAATTTCAAGGCTGTGCTGCAAAGTTAAAATTATTTTTGATGTATACAGCATTTTCTTAACAACTGAAGTTAACAGTTACTTGATTGAGGTATAGAATTTAACTTCTTGTCTGGAAAATACATCATTTCTCCCCACCCCCTTAAAGTTGATTTACAATAAAACTAACAACAGTAAAGTACTATATTGGTTTGTTTTTGACTAGGTTGCACAGATGACATCTTCACAAGCGACCACTCGCCTGTTTTTGCCACTTTCCAAGTGGGAGTGACGTCCCAATGCGGCGCCAAGAAAGGTGCGTTCAATGTTGTGGACATCTGAACACAAATACCTGGAATAATGAGTGAATTTTTGTGTGTTTTGTTAAACAAACGGGACTATCTTATTTTTAAAATTCAAACAGATTTAAATTTCGGTGTGGAAAAGGCCTGGGTTGAGCTCGAAGGCATCGATGCCATCGTGAAAACTGCGAGCAAGGCAAAGTTCTTCATTGAGTTTCACTCCTCTTGCATTGAAGGTACGGCGACACGTCAGCAGGAAAATGTGTGGAATAATAAAAATTAATGGCCGGCTTTGTTTGCAGAGACGCAGCGCTCCAGTGAGAATAATTCACAGGGTTGTGACGTTCCTGGGTTTCTCAAACTCGGTTGGTCCTCCAAACAGCTCCCCAAGGTCAGGGGATGAATCCTTCGGAAAACAAATAAAACATTGTTACTAATCTGTTTTTCTTTTTTTTCTTTACTTTAATTGTCTTTTTTATTTTGCTTTTTTCTGTTAAAGCTTCTTCCAGTTTCATCTGACATGGAGTATCTTCAGGACCAGCACCTGCTTTTGTCTGTAAAGTCATGTGATGGATTTGAATCATATGGTTAGTTGTACTTTTTGTGTTTATTTTGCTCAATTCTAATGAGAATGGTTATTAATACCAATAAAATGCACACTAAAATCATGCTTAAACTTAAAAAAAAAAAAAAAAACAGGGAGGGCTTAGTTCTACTAACCCACTCATACCGTCCCTGCACATCCCCATAATAAACTAATGAATCCTAACTAACCAAAACGTCATTTGACTTCCATACAAGAAGTTTAACACACTGGGCTTTACACTAATATAAACTAAAAAATATTAAAAGTGACAAACATATCCTCATGCATAGCTAATAAAAATAGCAATAAGGAGTAAACAATTGAATGATAGTTGCTGTAACGTGAAGAGACTGAAGAACAGAGGAAACACGTTTATTAATAAGGAAACCCCAGAAGTAGGTATAAAATATTATTCATAAAAACAGTTTCTAAAATCTGAAAATTTGTAAAACAAAAACACTGAGAAATGAGATAGCATTAAATAAATGGGAGTTAAAGTAGAATTTAGGATACCATTGTTTCCTTAGAATAATACAAATATGTAATTAAAATGAATTACAATTAATTATAATTAAGTAAAACTAGGAGCATAAATAAACAAACAAAACTGAACACAAGACTTGCTAATATTGCTAAGCCCTGAAATGACTATTGAGTTTGCTTGTAATTTCAGGGTCCCATGCTTGAAATTGGTTTCATTCATGTCATCAATAATATTAATAATATTATTAAAATTCCCTATAGGTGAATGTTGTGTGCCTCTGGGCTCACTGACAGGTGCGTCGCAGAAATTTGAGACATTTTTGAGTCACCGAGGTGAGGAGATGGGCTCCATACGAGGACGGGTCAGAGTCCACGTGCCCAAAGATAGACGGACAACACGGAAGAAGATCTATGGTGGGTCGTCCAACAATATTCTGTCCTGAATCGCTGCCTTGCTTGCATTTTTCACTTCCCACTGAATGCCCTCTATCACTGCATTCTTCAACTCTGCTGCAAGTCTCACACTGCTTCCTCTATTTGGTTCCTCAATGACCCCTGGCTTGGCTTTACACACTTGCTGGTATTTATCGCCCGCTTCCTCTTTTGGCTCCTGATTGGCTGATCCTGGCCAGATGCATCCTGAGACACTGACACAGGACATTTGGGTAATATGCCTTCGGATCAGGCACGGCACATATGCAACACACAGACTTTGAAGAAGTTTGATTCGTTATACAAAATTAGATTTTCATTTCCTGTAATTTGACTTTTTCAGATGTGTTCTCTGTTGAGAAAGACGATAAAGGTCCTGGGAGGGGACACTTGTCTCCTGCAATAACACGAATCCCTGCAATTAGGTAAGGACCACTTTATGTTTTTGAATATATTTGTGCAGTGTTGCAAAAACAATTTGGATATCCAGGGAACATTCTCAAAGGGTGAATGAAAGTGTCACTTTGATCTCAGAAAACACTCTTGATTCTTGTAGGTGTATTTTAACTCAGAGCTTAGGCCAAGCACGTCCAACTCTGGTCCTCAAGGGTCGGTTTCCTGCAAGTTTGAGATTCGTCCCTGCTTCAACACAGCTGATTCAAATGATTTACCTTCTCAGTTTGCCATCAAGGTCTGCATGGGCCCACTACATGCAGGACACCGGCCCTTGAGGACCGACTTTGGACACCACTGGCTTAGGCAAACCTTCTTGTTCACCTGCATCAGTGGATTCACACACTTGCAGAAGCACGCAGTCGTGGTTGAGAACTAATAAAGATAACACAACTATGATATAAAGCAACAAAACTGTTGTTTTGGATAGTTTTGCATAGCATTTCTTCTGAAATACAAACATATCCACAACGCTAAGCAGAAAACGCCAGTAAAATTAATCAGCAGTGTGTTAGATAAGAATCATGCCAACGAATGCACGAAATAGGTCTGAACTACTTGGAACTCATTACCTTTTTTAAAGCTGCCAAAACCCAACATCACTATCACCAACTGTAAGCTACGACTGATTCTTATAAACTACATTACCCACAGGACATCAGTTAAAAACAGGAAGTCAAGAAACCCTTAACATGGCTTCTGATTGGGCCAAATATAAGGGTGGTGCGTGACTCATGATGATGAAGACTCCTCATCATCAGGGGCGGCTGTGGTGGAGTGGTTAGGGGAGTCGTCCTGGAACCGGAAGGTTGCCGGTTCGATCCAGTCGTCTCAGTCGTTGTGTCCTTGGGCAAGACACTTCACCCACCTCACCTACTGATGGTGGTCAGAGGGTCTGGTGGCACCAGTGCATGGCACCTTGCTTATGTCAGTGTGCCCCAGGGCAGCTGTGGCTACAATGTAGCTTACCGTCATCAGTGTCTGTGCATGGGTGAATGTCTGTAAGTGTAAAGTGCTTTGGCGTCCGGAGGGACTTGATAAAGTGCTCTATATGTTCAGTCCATTTACCATTTACCACCATAGCTGATTCTCCAAGTGATTTTTAAGATGTTGGCTCTTTTTGTTATACAGTCCAAAGGGGTCACAAAATCTTGCAGGCGGATTCATCTGCATTGCCATAATTTGTGGGCTGGCATACAGGCATTTTTTCCTTCCACTTTAAGCACTGATGTCAGCAAATTTAATTTGTCCAATCTAAACAATACTTTGGACCTCAATGCAATCGCAACAGACCGAGAACTGAAATCTTGATGTGTTTGTTCTACTTTAGCTGCTATTGATTGGAAAACACTAGAAAGGGGCTTACAGTGCTTTGTATAGAGAAAAATTACTTTGGGGCTCTGGCAGCTGTTAAAAATGGATCAACGTCGACATGCTAAACAACAAAAAATGCTAGTGTGGAGGCGTCTTATTATGCAAAATTTACTTTTTTGAGCTTTATATCATGTTACAATGTCAGTCCCTCATCAAAAACCTACCCAGAGTGTTGCTTTGACTCATTCATGCATGTTTAAGAAATCCTTGAATCTCCTGTGGTAGCCRTTTGKAGCTGCCTAAAACCTCGCTGGTACAAAGCACTGTCTATGTATATAAAGCCCCCCCCTGGAGCTCAGACCCTCCCTCAGTAACAATTAGCAAACACCTGGTGGAACTGCACATCTGTTGAGCTTGTAATACTAACTACGGTACTTCTCAGTCCAGTCCTTCTCATATTAAAAAATGCCTTCATGGAGGTAATGTATKTTTGGATGCCAAGGAGACTACCCTCTTTTTAAGGTTCTTAAGGATGACACAGTTTGTCAAAAATGGTTGGACTTTTCTCCTGCAAAAGGTTGTAAATGCCATCCAGCATTGTTTTGAGGATGTGTTCAAGTGGGAGTGTCTGAAACAGTAGGGGCTTTTAAAGAGACGGGCGTTTAGATTTGACTGTGATTCAGTCAAGTTTAGTTTTAATATATAGTATATTCAAAACAACTGAAGATAACWTAGTTATTTGATTGTTGTATAGAGTTAAACTGTGCCTGGAAAATACACAATACCTCCCCCCACAAATCTACAACCACATATAAAATGCAAGACTGTGCCTCCAGAGGCTTCTGTTCAAATTTAATCCAGTTAAAATATACAGTTGTGTTTTAATTTTCTGTGATTTTAGGTCTTGTGACACTTATTTCATAATAATATATGTTGTGGATAAATGCATACTCTTTGCAGACCATCTGGAGTACCTGTAAAACTAACAYCCAGCAGCTACACCAACCCTGCCTACTTCATCTTTGAAGGTGTATCAGTCCCACCCAGGGTGGAGGAGACTCCCCCCCAGCGAAAGAACCCTCAGGTCATCTGGTCTGGTAACGATGTCCTGCAGCTCCCAAAGGTCTCAGCCCATCCGGGGTTTGACAGGAGAAGTTACCACAGATCAGACTTTACAGAAATCGAAATTCCCTCCATCCTGTCTCCAAACACTGACTTCCAYATGCCCCAAAGTGACTCCTCTTATCAGCTTTTTCCAGTTCAAAACCCACCTCCAGTACCTCCACCTTCAAGTAAAGCCAACCTGCAGTACCACCAGCAGCAGAGATCAGAACTCAGAAACAAAAACCAAGGAAAAATGACTGTTCAGGACTCAGTGCAGCCTGAAAGCAACACGAGGAACCTCTACATGAACCACTCTGCAGTCATGAAGGAAAAAGCCAGAAGAGMTAAACATCAGCTTTTTCCAGCGAGGACAAATGCAACCCAAACTGCGAAGACGCCGTCACCGCTGCCTTATACCCCTACTCACATGGCGCTCTGTCACGCCTCTGCTTCCTGGATCGTCAACAAACACCCTCCAGAGTCGACGGGAGACAACTCCCTCACCGCTTTGCAAATTGCCAAGTCCCTCAGTGAGGTGGACTTTTTCCCATCAGTGGAGAAATGCCAACCTCCAGTCAGGCAGAGGATAAGTTGTAGAAATGGTCCTTCCAAGCATGGGGACAGGGGCTACAGCTGGGAGAAAGAGGTATGACCTCACTCACAAAGATGCATGTTATAAAATATTACTGCGGGTTCTTTGTCTCTTAATGTGTGTTTTATCTCAAAGCAGGTGTCTGTCCTTAGAGGTGCACCAGAAACTGTGCAGGAGCTGCTCAGTACTCTGGGTCTTCAAAAATACACCCTGGGTCTCAGCCTCAGTGGCTGGGATGATCTGGATTATTTCAGGTAAACTGATTTGAATGTGTACAAAGAATAACAATTAATAATAAGGAATAAAATCACAATTGCAGTGGTGGGCAGCGCTAATCCAAAAATTAGTTCCGCAATTTCTAAAGCGCTCATGTAAATATTTAGGTCCGCAACTTCAAAAGCGCTTATGCCATAGAATAATTTGGGGAAGCTAATTTTAAAGAGCAAGTTCAATTTGACACTTACTAGCTGGCAACAATTCACATACAATATATGCACAACACTGCCAACTAGCAGTGTATGAACTATTTTACAACTTAATTCTACAACTGCCGACTGCTGGGGATGTGATTTCCTGAAACAGACCTTTAGCTCCTGGTGTAAAAATTAAAAAGTTGTTGAGGATTGCTAGTTCGGCTGCTTCTTTGTCTTTTTCTTTTGTTTGTTGTAGATTTTTCATTAAAGAAGCTTCAATAAAGTAATTTAMAAACAGTTTATTGGAAAACTGAAGTGATGCATTCTGGGTACATGACGGATTTGATTTGTGACGGGAAAGCACGGTTCGCAGGAAACTATCTTCCCTTCAAAATAAGAGCTTGGATTTTAAAGCTTCCAATGTAGTTGCTCCAATTGACCACTAGATGTCAGTCTTCATCAGCACAACATCTTTAAATCATTTCTGAGGCTVTAACCCCGTTGCTTCGACCAATTACGTCAAGTATTGAGCTCCAGTGTTTAAACTTTATTTTTTTAAAATAAGAGCTCCGATTGTAAAGTAAAATAAATCAATACATACAAAATTTTAGTATGGATTACAAACGTTAACTGTTTTTGCTATTGCCTTCCTGCTACGTAAGCAGACACAAAGCATTGTGGGGAATCAGAACCCTGACCGAAAGCAACAGTCAGCAAGGATGTATACCTTTCCAATAAGTGAGTTTATCTGGGAGGGGTGCTGTTGGATAGATCATGTGTTGTGATTCATTGACAGCCATTCCTTCCACTGTTCAAGATAATGATGACTGKTAGATAATTAGTTATTAGTGGTACTGCATTTTAATTTTAGAAAGCGCAATTCTGCTTATGAATTAAAAAATTAATAAAACTGCTAAAGTCCAAACAAAATTTTTAGGTCCACAATTAGCGAATTTGCGCTTTAGCGGGCTGGTTCCCACCACTGCACAATTGCTACATCACAGACACAGGATTATTTTTTCAAAAACAATTTCCCCTCATGGATCTGGATGTATTTGTTTGATCCTAAAATTAGAAAAATGTATTTACTAAAGTAATGAAGAAGTGAAAGGGTTAATCTTTCACTATTTTCTGAGCTTTCAGGAAAAAAGACGACATTCAGGTAATTCAGGAACAGCAGCTCTGTGTTAKGTCTTAACAAAACTTTGTAGTTATTACTGAGAATGAGGAAGACCAACTACTTTTTTTTTACATTTTGTCATTTTTGCATGTATCCCTTTTATAGCATGTAATTGTTTCCTCAGTTGAACTATGTGTTCATGTGAATTACATGTTTGTGTCTCGATCAACAACAAAATYAGAGCAGCTGCTTGATGTATAAGTAATAAGATGTAAAAACTGAATTTGCTGTTAAAGATCAGAGTTTCAGGATTTGTAAACAGCAGAGATATGATCTGTATGAAAGCTCTGTTAGCTGGACTGCYTTGTGAGAAATTTCCACTGAGCTCACATTGACTGCTGGGTAAATAGAAACTTAGCAGTAACTACTTCAACCAACCTCACTTAAAATAAACACAACTGCCTCTTTAATACAGACTAATTTGTTGTTTTGCACGTTACACATTGGCTCACTGAGAATAAAAAATCAAGTTCTCATACTATTCTCAGTTCYTGTTATAGTGGTGATGTTTATCTGCTGCAAATAACTTCTAATATAAATATGAGCTATTATGTGCTGTATATATTTACCATAAGACCCAACCATTAAAATAAGTAGATAAACAAAATTCTTTCTTTGTGTTTTCCCAGACAGAGTTTAATCTGTGCTGGAAGGAAAATATTGCACTGAGGTCRTTGTGCTTTTGTTTTTCAAGTGGATGTTTCCTGTTGGGTTTTATTAAAAAGTTGTGATTTCCTAGTTTTGTGTTGGATMTTAGACTGCTTAAAAGTTGAGAAAACCTTTTTTGATTTGTGAATAATTTAGTCAAAACAGCTTTAAACTCTAACTAACTCCCTTGTGAACACATAACCCTGCCCCCAGGCACATTTTGAAAAATTCGACAAAGTGGGAGGTGCCAAAAGCCACTAAGGGGCAAGGTCTCACCGGAGATTGAGGGAGRTTTTGTGGAGCCTGAGCCAGTTCAAGGTGCTGGCTCAGCGATGCCCAAAGTYGGTGCTGCYGAGGCAATGGAGGACAGAACGGATCCAGTTTCTGAACCTGAAAAAAGCTATCGATCAATGCTCGCTATTCCAACTCCTGACTCGCTATAGGGGCGTGTCTCTGAGTGAGTGGCTCTTATACCCGAAGGCGTTGGCTGTGACATAGACTTCAACCAAGCTGTTCTGTTGGAACCAGTAGGAAAATTACACTGMAGTAGCCACTGTTCAACCTATAGAGGGCAGCACTGAGACAGATTTAGACCAAATATTGCAGAGTTAAACAAATTTACACAAAAATGTCACATTTTGCACCGAAACAGAAAGATAACACCCTTAAGCCTCTATTTAGACAGTTTATCTGCAAAGTTGATTTGGGGTTTAGTTGAAGTCACCCACTTCAAATGTTGTCATCCCAACCGTTATTGGCAGTTATCACTCCCATACATTGGCTTTAGACTGGTGGATAAAGTTTAGTTTACATACTTTTGCCATTATAAATTTTTATATTTGATTTCCAAAATGCGTATCGCTTCTTTTAGGTGAAATGCAAGTAAAATGAGATATTTTCTCTTAAAGCTCTGATGTCATATTTGTTTACAAAAACTCACCTCACTGAAAACGTACCATGGGCATTATGTCTGCATACATCAAGTTCAAATTATCCTCTTGTTGTCTCCAACAGTGGCATCACCGAGGAGGATTTGTGTGCAGCTGGAGTAACAAACCCTGCACACCGACGCAGGATCCTGGAGAACCTTCCCAGGAACTGGACCTGACAGGAACACGATGGTGCAAAGTTTGATCACAAGTAGAACTGGAAAAAAGAACTTTCATGAACTGAAGGAAGGACTTTTATTTGATCGACCAAAAAATAAATAAATAAATAAATAAACTGACATTTTTCCATGTACTGGATTTAAACTGAGTTCACCTGTACCAACAGAGGAGAACATAAAATGCAGTACTTCTTGCACATTATATTTTCTTCATTTACCGCCTTTAAAACTGATGAATGAAGGGAAACTATTGTGTGTCTTCAGTTTGTGACAAATAACAAATAATATTTTGATATGTTGGCTTCATTTATTTTGTTTTTAATAATTCATAAATTGCTCTATAATATAGTCTCTGTATTCAGTGTTCATCAATGTTTACCATGCGCTTCCTTTACATTGCTAATATTGAGCCAAATCCTTTAAAGACCACATACCCCAGAGTGTAAAATTCAATCATATCTACAAAATACAACTACAATTTCAATGAAGTTGGGGAATTGTGAAAAATGTAGATAAAAACAGAATACAATGGTTTGCAAATCCTTTTCAACCTTCAACTGAATACACAAAGACAAGATATTTAATGTTCAAATGGACAAACTTTGTTTTATTTTTCCAATATTCACTCGTTTTGAATTTTATGCCTTCAAAATGTTTCAAATGAGTGAATATTTGCAAAAGAACAATCAAGTTGATCCATTATCTACATTAAATATCTTGTCTTTGTATCTTCAGGAGGTTGAAAAGGATTTSCAAATCATCTGATCCTGTTTTTATTTTTGTTTTACACAACGTCCCAACTTCATTGGAATTGCGSTTGTAAGTTATACCATCGACATTTCAGTTTTACTTCCTCCCTCATACTGTTACTATCATGTTATTTAATCAGTAGATGTGTCCTCTGCACACATTTTATGGAGCGTTTGTAAAACAGATAAAGCAGCACTTGACTGTCACTGAGCAATCACAAGTATCATCTCCTGCTCATGGGCAATAAGACACGAAAGATACCAGATCTTTATGGTGCTGTCTTCTAKTTCAGAGCTAATCTACAAGCCTGATGTTTGATGAGGCCAATCTGGCTTTAGTGCGACAAAGATTGTTGACTGCAAGGAGCAACACAAGTCTCAACTTGAAGAGTTGGTTCAGAAATTTTGGAATCAGGTTTTGTGGGAAGAGGATGAATAATTAACAAGTTGCCTGTTCGTGGCTCTTTGAGCGACCTCAGTTTGGAGAAACAAAATTCAATTTTGACGTGTAAAGAACTAGTTTGAAACCAAAGTGGATTGCAGCCAACGCTGCGGGAAGTAGGGGGACAACGGGTGTTGCAGTAACAGGACATTCATGTTTAAATAAATAATTTCACTTTTGCTGCACATGTGTACATTTTAAGATGATTTTATATGAATGATTTATGTAAATCTCACATATAAACAATAATATAATTGTTTGTCTGTGAGCGAAATTTAACAACAAAATTGCACAAACAGAGTGAAATTTGCCACTATGTCATGATTGTATTTTTATTGATATTACAGCATATTTTTATGTCCATATTTTTTAGAAGAGATCATGCACTAAAAGTGCACAATTAGTTTTTTAATTTGTTTTTATGATGTTCTTCATATAAGGATTTAGGGTCATTTACATTTAAACATATTCACTGCACCCCCAACCTAATCAGGTTTAAAAAAACGTCATTTTTAAAAAATCATAGCAGTTTATACAATATTTTAATGTAAGTTCTTACATTGTAATATTTTTTATTACAGTTACACTCAAAAAACAGATGTAGTGATTTAATTAAAAATATGTCATCTGTTTCCACTCAGCTGAATTAAGTAAACGTGTTTATTTATGTTTACTTAGCATTTATTTAAAGTCAGCGTGAGGTTAAATGTGTTACATTTGCTTAATTTAGCTGAATGGAAACAGTTGACATAGTTTTTCTAATTAAATCCACCACATCTGGCAGAAAAAAATGCAAAACATTAACTGGAAGTAGCTCTGACTGCACTGGAAATGCTAGAGCTAGCTGCTAGTGTCAATCGTAGTGTTTTCAAATGACCATATAAAGGTAAACTGAAAGATGTGTAAAAGCTTATAGAGTTTGAATGAACYGCTATGATGTATTTTAAAGATTAGAATTGCTTCAAAATGGCAACAATCCACTTTGAGCTCATCAGAATTAAACAATTTCTCCAAACTGAGGCCTTTCGATTTACAACAGGTAAACTGTTCTCACAAAACCCCACTTCAAAAGAGCTGAATTATCATTTTATTTTGTGGAAAAAAATCTCCAAGTAGAACATAACCAGATGTTCTTGCTGATCTGCTGTTTTGGTTAACTATAAATGTTTAAAGAAATCTGCCAAACTCATTGTAAACATGATAGCTGCAATGGATCGGACACAGACTCCAGACACATAGCCTCCTTCAAAACATAAATACATTAATAATAATTTTGTATTCAAGGAGGTTACACAAGTACCAGCACCACAAGCTATAAATGTACAAATATCACACTCTTTTCCCCCAATTAAAACACATTTTTCAAATGCTTTCTAAAAGAGATACAAAAATTAGATGTTCTTAGTCCAGATGGAAGCAACACTGTTATTGTTTATTTCTTTTGTTTGCCATCGAAATACAGAATGCCTGAAGTGACAAACGTGTCTCAAACATGACTGATCCAGTTAACAGATGACTGCAGACAGACATGAGACAACTGTGACTTCAGCTCCTAAAAATAAGTCCACTCAGTGTGAAAAGGGTCTGTGTTTGTGCTCAAAGCATTCAGTAAAGTAGTTACTCATTAAGGCTGGGTCAAACACGACTGTTGACAGCAGGTATGTRTCGGTGACCGCTAAGTCCCTGACTTATTACTGACTGTGGTGACATCATCWCCTGTAGGTGTGCTAAATCATTTCTCTCCTCAAACAGAGCCATACTAAATGTGTAAATGGCATCTTTTTCAAGGAAAAGTAAGAACTGAGTAAGCACGCATTTGTGTTTTATAGAGTTTGAAAGAAAAACCTCAATTACATGGTTGTCTTAATCAGTTTTTATAGGGTGTTTTGGTTTTTTGTGTGTGTGTGTGTGAAAAGATTGAAAAACAATGTTTAAATTCAGCTGTTAAAAACATTAAATAGATCRATGAGGTGGATAAATCTAACTTAGTCTTAAGACTAAATTTAACTTAGTGTTAATAATGATGGATCAGTTAAAAAAACAATTACAAATTAAATTCAGTGAGACGTTTGTCTTTAGCTGCTAAACTAGCTTCTAAAAGCCAAATGTTCTTGATTAAGACACTGAACCCCTGACAGTCCACCTTCTTGACAGCTTCACCTCTGTTGGTAAATGAAATGTGTGTGTGTATCTGTGTGTATGTGTGTGTGTGAGASAGACTGGGTGAATGAGAAACACTGTAAAGTGCTTTGCAGAGCCGTCAAGGTTAAAAGTTGCTACATAAGTGAAAAAGCATTTAATGGGKTTTTTTTTTCCGGTGCTTTGTCAGTGGCCCACTCACATGTTGCAGACATCTAACGGTGAAAACAATTCACACAAAAGCACACACTTCCATTAATGTGTGCACAAAAACATGTGTCCCCCCCCCCACACACACACTCGACAGAAAGTTCAGTTACACAAACACTCTCAGGTTTTCTCTCCGTGTCCCATTGCTCCATATTTGAGCTCAGCTACTCAGTGTTTCAAATGCAAAGTTTCGAACCGCATGGCTGTTTTTACATGCATCAGGTAAAAGCGTCCGTTTCTATTGGCTGGATAAATGAAGGATTTTAAAGTTTGCATGAAAACGGCTGCTGCGGGCCTATTTCACTGCTCATATGTTAGTAATTCCATAGTAAAAACAATCTGAGGAGGCTGCACCCACTCTCAAATGACCCAATTTCCTCCCAGTGGCCCCAGACCTGAACATAATGTCTGCCTGTGTTGGACTTTTTGTTGCATTCCTCATGGAAAATCAAATCACGTGTCAGCTAYATAAAAAAAATCAAATAAAACTTGACAGAGTTGTAGCAGTARCAGTATGAGTTCCAGTTGAACATGAATTTTGCTGCACACTCAGACATGCAGTGATATGGTCACATTAGCGGTTGCACAATTTTTTTTTAGGTGTGACTGATTTAACAAAAGGTAAACAGTGAAATCAAGCAGTACATTTTTTTTACAGTTTTTAAGTCTTTTCTTTAAACTCAGGACAAACACAATGAACACCGGGTCAGAGTAAGCAATCTGATACAAGGCCATGCCCCAGTTTTACTCAAAAGATCTGTAAATGAATGAAAAGAAATGATCTGGGAAAGTATTTCAGAGGATCCAACAATACTTTTATAACTCTTTAACCCGAGATGAGGCGTCAATAATTGTGTAACTTTTTCCTAAGCAATTGGAAAGTAATCAAATATCAGTAAAACCCAAATAAAATGACACATAGTGCCTGCTTTTCATACATCTACAGTATATAAAACACTTGAACAGCAAGCTGTGATTTATAACAGCAAAAACTTGGAAGTCAAATTGAGTTCAATATTCCCAGTTTGCCGAAGTGGAAACCTGAAGCCTGTTMAACTCATACACAAGAATAAACTTTAGATTAGGATTTCTTCTAGATATTCTCTTGYGAAACATAATTATAAAAAAAATCTATCAGCTGACTTCCCTTAAAGTTTCAGTGCAGATTTGCTGTGTTTTTGGCAACATTCAGAGCTGATCTCTTCACATTGTCCACCCACAGACAAATTCACTGGAAGCTTTTCTGCAGATGTCACTGTGTTTTCCCCGTCCCCCTGTTRTAACAGAGCAAACAGAAATATTACTAAAGAAACTCTTGGCCCTCAGCTGCCTGGAGTTGTTCTGGTAACTGTAATCGAAAGCTTCAGTCTTATGAACACAGCTTAATAATGAAGCGGCAACAATCTGATCAAAACCAAACCTGAAATACCAGTTTATTAAAGGGATCCACGATTAGTTGTAACATTAAACTTTATTTGATAAACATTTATTTTAACTGTAAAATAAAGACTGTTAAAATACTGTAGGCTGTTTAGTTTTGTAAATTTTTTCAAATATATTTTAACACGGACGGAGCCATTTTATTTACATGCAAAGCATTCTGGGTAAATGATGACATCTAATAGGTCATCGGTACAAGGCTGCTAGCGAGC